TTTATTTGTTATTTTTGTCCTTTTAGCACATTCTGCTCCTTTTTTGTTTATATCTTTTTATTTTCTTCTATTATTTATGTGTTTTTTTTTACCGTTTGAGTTTGGCTCGGGCATGTTATCAAGGTGCTCCCCCGATCCAACACATGGCGCAAGTTCGACGTGCGACCGGTCAGCGGACAGCGCGTCACTATGTACGTCAACGCCGAAAAACAAGTGGAAATACATCATGAGGGAGGTCCAGAAGCTCCTGGACTCCATCAAGGCTGCGAAGCCAGACCAGGAGCGATGGGCCCGAAGGCAGAATTGCTTCGTCTACGTCGGATCGGGACCGATCGTGGAAGTGCAGGTGCGCGGACCCGATGAAGCTTCGAAATTGGCATAGGACGTGCCCGTCGCCTCCCGCCTCGGCATCGACTGGCAGACCATCTCGATCCAGTTCCAGGATCTCTGGCGTGAAGTCGACACCACGGGCTACATGCTCCCAGCAAAAAGGTGGGCTCCGTGGGAGCTTAGAACTGCTGCTCGAGGGCTGGCGGCTGGCTGGCGGAGCTTGGAACACCTGCGCCAGCGCTCCATCGTGGTGGTTCAGGATTTTCACGACTATGCCGAGACGCACCCAGCTACTACACTACACCCACCTACTACAAGATGTACCACTTTACGACAGATAGGCCTGGATCTGGGGGGCATACAGAATCCGTGGCATGACCACCGCACTTTAACTGCTGCGGTCCATGCGGCAGTCCCTCAGATCTAGTATCGGGTGCTGGAACACGACCGCGCTGTCATCGCGGCGACTGTCATGCCGCGCACTCAGTGCGCTATGAATCTCATGAATGTCCACAATGTCGACATCAGCGAAGATGGGAAACGGCGCGACGGTCCCAGGCGGGCCCCATGGAAAGGATTCTCGTGGCAGATGGCGACTGCAGCATGACTGATGCGCCGACGAACCCCCCCCTGATACCCGCAGCCGCGGCAGGCCCAGCGGCCCGCGGTCAGACGCAGGGCGCGCCACTAGATATCTGAACCGCCCTGGCGGGACATCTTCAGCAACCCTCGCGTGCTGGAGGCGTGCTCGCCGCTCCCCGCCCACTCCGCGAAGGACGCGGGCACGCGGCGCGCGATCGGCTGGATCTTCGCGACCCTTTCGTCGCCCTTCGCGCTGGAAACCGAGCGCGGCCTGCGGGCGGCGAACGATGCCGTCTCGGCGGAGGCGCAGCAGCTCAGTGACCATGCGGCCCTCAAGCTGCGGAAGCAGATGCGGAGGGCCACGCCCACGTCTGAACGGAGCATCCCTGTCTTTATCTTCGGGTGCCCCAAGTGCAGCATGACTTTGGCAAATTGCTTCGATGGCTACCGCATTGAGTTCGAACCGATCTACGAGCAGCGGCAAATCGTCAAGGACGCGGCGCTAGCTGCGGATCTCACGCGCAACGAGCTGCAGGCAAACGCGTCGGTGAACGACAGCGACAATGGACGGCAGGCGCGGCTGTCGACGTTCCGCTCGGTCGCGAGAGCTGTCTGGCACCAAGACTTCGGCCGGCAATGGCGCTCATCAGCGACGCCCCCACCGGCGCGGCGGAGCCCTGCATCAGCAACGGCGCCGTCTCCTTGAGAGGTCAGAATCAAGAGAGCGACGCAGTGGAATCCCACGAAGCACGCTCTGGCGCAGTCGGGGGCGCTGCGCCCGGCCCGCGCGGCAACGCGAGGACATCGAGGCCGCTGCGAGAGAGAGAGCCGGAGTCCATGATTGCTGAGCGAAAAAACCATTTGCAGCCTGTATTCATTGAGTCGCCTGTCCAGGAGCGCCTGATCGGCCCCTCTTGGTCAGTGCATGCCACAGCTTGATAACTACTCCTTCCCTCTTCCCTCCGTCAGCGATCTCCGATCTGCCTTCCAGCGGGCTCGTGGCTCCGCGCCGGGCCGACGGGCTTCCCGCGCGAGCGTGGCGCGGGCGCCCACTTCCCGCAGAGGTCTTGCATGGCGTTCCATGTCAGATGGCGGCCAGCCCCCCCGCTCGAGTTTTTTATCTCTTGTCTTCTCGCCTTTCTCCCGACAGGAGAGGAGGCGCTGGCCTGGCCGACTGTGCTCTAACCCTTTGGTGAAACCGCCCATTGGCCCTGCAGAGCTCTGGCAGCAAAGCGGCAGCTGCCAACGTATCAGGTGTTCTGTCTAGGGGCCCCCACGGGGCTCAGAAAAAGCTCGCGCTCGACGACGAATCCAGGCGAGCGGGCCTCCTCCCGGGGGCGGACATGGGGCTTCCTGGATTTTTTAGCTTTGATGTCAAGGCCACCTTTCCGAGCATGTCCCAACTCTTCTTCCATCGCGCTGTCGATCGCTTCACTCTTCCTGCCCCGTCATTGCTCGACGGGCTGGCTTACGGAACCATGGGATACGCAAAATTGTCGTGCCCCATTTTTCCGTCGCCTCAGGCGCCCCCCTAAGGCGCCTTCTGTCTAGGAGTCTCTGGGCTTTGGGGTTTGACCCGTGGGTTCGGTGCTTGCGCGAGGCTTTCCCGGCGGAGGGCGAGGGGGCCTTCGGAGGTCGCGCCGACGATGTCGGAGCTGTTACTGTGGACATCCGTAGCACCTCCCTTCTTCGCCGCACCTTCCAGAGTGCTGAAGCGCCCGTGGGCCCCGAGCTGCAACCGCACAGGTGTTGCTCCGTTCGTTCCGTTCCCTTCTGGGCGGAGTGCGACGAGCACGCTGCGAACAGGTTAGTGCCGCCCTCGCTGTGCATGCGCTGGCATGGGATGGGTTCAAGATCGAGGGAGCCGCCAAATTTCTCGGCGCCATGTTCAGCCCCTCGGTGGACCCCCTCGCCCAGTGGAAGGGCCATGGGCAAAAATTATGGGTCAAATGCTGGAAGTGCATGTGACTAGGGCTCCTTCTGAGGCTGCGCTGCTTCTTTTATCTCGTTGTCATCCCCCCCCTCTGTCTTCTGCGTCGCTCAGTTCCTCCGTCCTGATCCCAAACTCTCGTCGAAGGAAGGGCTGGCCATTCACAAATTGCTGCGGATGTCACTTAACTCGTTCCAGGTTGCCGAGTTGATGGGCATTCGGCGATGGATGCTGAGCGGTGCTCCTGTCCCTGTCAGTCTCTCGTCCCTGGCTGCCACGTGGAGAGCCAGTCATTGTACGTTCGGGGGTGGAGGGCTTCTCGGTATCGATTTGAAGTGGCGGCCCAAGTCCACGGAGTTCTCACCGATGTCATCTGCAACAAGTGGTCTCTGGACTCGGCGTCAAAGCGCTGCTGAATTTTGTGCCTCCTGCGTCGACAGGACTCGAAGCAGGAGCTTGGGGACGCGGCAGGTGCAGCCTAGATCAGAAATAACTTGTGGGGCCGCTGAGACCGAGGCTTCTCACGAGGCTTGGCAATTTGGGGAGCGGGAGCCGATGCCAATGTGCGAGTCTTGGGCAGGGCTATTGGGCTCGTTCCCCCGCGCAGCATTTCGATACTCCATCGAGGTGGGCTCGGTGTTGCAGGGATTGACGTCGCGCAGGCGCTCACCACTTGAGATGGCGCCCCGAACATGCTCTGCGCCTTCCCCGGCCCGCGTGTGCAGGATCGGGGTCGGAACTCGAGGCTTGCCTCTTCCCTACTGTCTCCTCCGCCACATCGACCTGAGCCAATAATGTGCTACTTGTTATATCCGAGCTCGCCCGTTTCCAAAAGGCATCGGCATGCGATCCACCCGCGGGGGCCAATTTGGGACATGCGACCCACGTGGGCACAAGTCGTTGCGAAAACTTCGCCCTGTTATGTAGGCCACTTGTCGCACTCGGTCTAGGCGAGCTGCCGTGAGAAGTGAGATCGAGAAAACAGTAGTGAACCAGAACGAGGATGAGCCGTCAAACAGAAACAACAGGAAACGGAGAGAGAGAGAGAGAGGGAATGAGGAGGAGGAGGAGGAGATCGAGATGGCAGCAAGCAGCTCCTCAAACCAATACATAGCAAGCAGAACAGGCGGGAGTTGGCATGCACGCAACGGAAGTCTGCGTCCACGGGGTCATTGCCCCTACTGTCGAGCCGCTAGTCGGAAGCGTTGAGGACGGCACTGGTCTGAAATGGCATTCCTCCTCATCCTCCTCGTTATCTCCATCGCCTCCTGGTCCTCTTATCCTCCCCCCTCTGCGTTCCTCGGCCCCCTCCTCCCTCTTTGCCGCCCCCTCCCCCCTCCTCCTCCTCTCTCCCCCTCTGCTCCTCCCTCAAGCCATTTCGGCCTGCAGGCGCGCGCGCGCGCCCGTGCGGGCCGAGGCTGCAGGGCGCGCACCATCGGCGGTGGCGGGCTGGGGCTCGCTGCGCGCCGACTCGCGGCTCGAGGGGGGCGGCAGCAGCCGCTGCTAAAGTTCCTGCGGCCCCAGCAGTGCATGGCCAGGGGGCCGCGGCTGGAAGCGAGACGAGGAGGATCAGAGCTCGCGGGCGTCATGGGGCGCGCCCTGGCGACACTCAACGTCGAGATCTTCCAGCTGCAGGCCGCCCAACACAAAGGGCAAGAAGCACACGCAGTACCTGGTATGCCCTGTTTGTCCTATGGGCAGCGGCAATTGGGTTTATTACAATCGAGCAGGTAAGCCTGGGTGGACCAACTGCAAGTCGCGCGGGCACGAGTGGAAGGCACCCAGCGCTGCACCACGCGCCGAACAAGCAGAAGCAGGAGGAGCCTCGGATGCTGCCAAGGCCATGGTGGAGCCTCTCAGGAAGCAGTACGTCCAGGCGCAGCAGCATAATGACCAAGTCAAGATGGACGAGATCCTGGCGGCGTGCCCAGAGGCCAAGCCGACGGACCCCGTCGAGCCCGCTGAGCCCTCCATGGGGCAGAAGCTCCAGCAGGCGGTGGCGGAGCTCAACAAGCTGCAGAAGCAACAGGACAAGCTCGCTAAGCAGCTCAAGCGGGTTACCGAGTACCGCGACGACGTGCTCAACAGGATCAGCACCAACGTGGCTGAGCTTGCGGAGGCTAAGCGGATCTTCACCGAGGCGAAAGAAGGACTGGGTGGTGAAGCTGAAGCACCTGAAGCAGAGAAGAAGCCAGATGACGAAGAACAGTTCCCTACCCTATCCCAGGACGACCTGGCCATGCTGGACGAGAAGCAGCAGCAGGAGTACGAGCAGATCCAGAAAGAGTACCAGCAGGCTAAGACGTTCATCAACGCGAAGAAAGAAGCTGTCCATAATGCGAAGATGGCGCTCGACGCGGCCAAACAGATCCACGAGAAGGCTAGTGAGCGACGTCGCGGAGGCCAGGGCGAAGCTCGTACCGACCAGGCACCAGCGGCAGCACCAGTCCCTGAACCTGTCCTACCAGAGCAGCCAGCTGGAGCAGGACAGCCTATGGATCCTGAACTCAGGTTGGCAGCCAAGTACGACCTCTCCAAGGATGACCAGGTCCAGGCCTACCTCGCGGAGCTGGCTAAGATCAAGGGCAGGACCAAGGTCGCGTTGGCTACAAGGCAGGCGCCGCCACCGCAGCAGGCAGCAGCAGCAGCAGCAGCATAAGCTAAAGGAGACGGAGTTGGAGGGCAGCCTGAACTCCACGCAGTGCTACTACTCGGCACTAGCAGAGCCAGCTGCGAAGGGGGGTGAGCCACAAGGGGTTGGCCACGAGCCGATGTGCGGCATATCCCCACTCGCAGCAGGCCTTCATCGAGGGCCAAGCATCAACTCCAAGCCGGCGTATGTTAAGACGGTTTGGATCGACGACGAGGTCGACTACATCACCGAGAGTGCTTTTACTCGCAGTGGTGATGCTATGGCTACCGCGTCGTCTCCTTTTTCTACTTGCGGGAGCTCTACGTGTGCTACGACGGCCTCGGACCCAGATCGCGCAGGGGCGCGGGATTCTGGATCAACGTTCGCAGTCATCAACGGCACCAAGCAGAGCGAACTGAACGACGATGTCAGGGACGTTGTCAAAGCTTTCGTGGCCAACTGCACGCAGTACAATGAGGCCGCCAAGAAGTTCGTAGAGGACGAGCAGAGCGAGGAGTATGACATGATCGCATTTAGTGAGCACCACTTGCGAGGGCCAGCGGCGGAGATCGAAGCTAACAGGCTCAGGCGACTGGGCTGGTGATCTCATGGAACTTGGGCACCAGCTCGACAGTCACCGAGATCGAAGAAAGGGGCGCTCGGAGGCACCTGCATACTTCGTCGTCGGCATCTGGATACTCGCATTCACCTGCCAGACGCGCAGGGCCACAGCATCTTCGCGAAGGGGTTCCACGACATCACCATCGTCAAGTGGCAGCTCAAAGGACAGGAGATAGCAGCTATCACGGCATACCTCACGGCATCGATTGGGTTTACGGGCGAGAATATTCGCAAGATGAAGCACCTCTTGCACCTGACGCGCAGCCTGGGCAACATACCCTGGTTCATCTGCGGCGACTTCAACAACGCACCCCAGGAGTTTGAGGCGACGCCATGACTAAGGCTACTTGGAGCAGCGATTGTGGTACCACAGCACGTTAGTCATACGTGCAGCAGTGGGTCGGGCAGGATGATAGACTACGCGTTGGTCCCTCCCGTCTTTCGCCCGCTCCTGAAGGCAGTGCGAGCACAGCATGAAGTCCCATGGTCACCGCGCATAGGTATTGTCATAGAGATCTGTGCCAAGCCGAACAGGATCACCATCCGTAAGCCCATGCCCCCAGCTAAGAAGCCCATCCCTACCACGGAAGTGCGGCGAGAGAAGGGCATTAAGAGAAAGCAAAGGGACAGACAGCAGCACCAAGACATGGCCAAGTACTTCGACTCAGAACTCCTGGACGAGACGCTCCTGGACGCGCACTACACCGAGACCGTGGCTATGAAGTGCGGCCCGACCATCTGGGACGAGCGCCGCGAGGAGGAGGCATCTTGCCAAATCCGAGGCCCTCCCAGGTGGGTTCAAAACTCGCTGGCATACAAGCAGAACCCGAGGATGAGCGACTTGCTCGGCACATTGTACGGCAAGTGGGCGAATGCAGCGGAGAGGGCGCTTGCTACGGTCACGCAGAACCCGATCAAGGCTACGGCGAGGAGGGGGCAACCAATCCGCCATCGCGAGGTGCCCTTCCCACAGCACGTTGCGAGCAAGCAGTTCGAAGACACCGCGGCAGATAGACAACGACAAGTCAGTATTTTATGGTCGAAGTTATATCAGCGATGCCATGATGGTGAATTTTTGCCCCGGAGGCACCCGATCGATAGCCAGAAGCACCTGGAGACGATCAGCAGTACCATCAGGACTTATGCCAACCAGTTGGACGCCTTCGGCACAGCAGAAGGGGACGAAGCAGCACACCTTGATGGACAAGCGAGGCGCCTAGCTTCCCGCGTCACCAACCTTCGTCACTATCCTGGGCCTGAGAACACCACCGAGAATATCCAAGAGTGGCAGGAGGCGACCGAGTTGACGAGGGCACGCATGGACTGGCATACGCGGATCCATTGGAAGAAAGTCAGAGAGCAAGTTGGACAATGGACCAGGACGGCTTTGTCAGGCAGCATGAAGGCGGCCCACAACTACATCAGCAAACATGAGCGACGAGACCTACCAGACACAGCAGTGGACCCAGTTACGAAGGAGGAGACGGGCGCTCTACGCGACGCTACTGAATGTCGTGGAGGGGTTTGGCAGACGAGGTGGCAGAGGCACAACAGCAGTCAGAAGTTGGAGGAGGCGATGGCAGACTTAAGACGAGCGTCACAGGACGAACTTCCCCAGCGTGAGTACTATAATGTCGACGACCTGGAAGCGGCGCTCCCGAAGTTCCGACCCACTACAGCGCGTGGTCCTGACCAATGGCAACCACCCGAGATCAAGGCCCTACCGCCCGATGCCAAGCGCAGCCTGGTCTTCGTGATCAACTCGTGCGAGCGGAACTTATGCTGGCCACGCCAATTTTACCACCTGTGGTACCACTTATTGGTCAAAGCTGGTTCTAACACTGCTGGCGAGGAAAGGCCAATTGGACTACTGCCATTCCCAGTATGATTGTGGGGCAAAATGGCAAAGAGCGAAATACAATATTGGTGTGCAGAGAAAGCGGGCCACTGGGATGCGGCAATCCAAGGATCCTCGGCTCTTCGCGCAGCGTTACTTTCAATGTCGCTCGACGAGACCAGCGCGAAGCTCAAAGGATCGCTCTATGGTGCATTCTACTTGGACTTAGAAAAATGTTACGACAGCGTGGACTTGAGCATCTGGATCAAACGAGCCATGCAGCTTGACTATCCGAAGGTCAACTTATACATGAGTATGTTAATGTACTTATCCCCGCGCGTGGTACGCGCATGCCACGATCATGCTGAACCAATCTGCCCATGGAACGGCATAGTGGCAAGATGTGCAGCGGCAAACCACGCGGCGAGGGCCATGATCTACATTATCTGGGACATCACCCATAATGCGGCGCCGCCTGCCATCACGAGGGAGTTCGTAGACGACTTGCACACGAGAGTCGAAGGTCAAGCCGAACAGTTCCAGGAGCAGTTCCCAGTGGCGGTCGATGCGCTTGTGCAGGCTTGCCTGGACTCAAAGCTGGTGGTTTCAGGAAAGTCAGCGCTCCTCACGAACTGCGACGTGACCAAGAAGTGCATCGCGAAGCATCTCAAAGGCAAGGGCATCAGCATTAAGACTCCCAAGTTCGTCAAGGACCTGGGCATGGATGCGGCACTGGGAAGGCAGCGCATCACAGCCACGCGAACTACCGGGAGTAAGCAGGCAAAGCTACGTGCAAAGCGTGCCAGGATCTTCAGCAAGCAGAAAGGCAAATGGCGGCGCAGGACGGCGATGCTCTTCAACTCCAATCTGAGAGCCAAGCAGAGCTACGACTGGCCAGTTACAGGGCTCAGTCCAGCTGCAGCGCGTGAAGCGCGAGCTCAGGCGGCAGAGACGGTTGGATTTACAACCGGCGGCAGATGCACATCAACATTCAACATCATCTTCTACGGCGAGAACGAGCCAGCTACAGCATGCCTACAGCGACAAGTACGTGAATGGGTACAGATGTGGCAAAAGGATACCCCAGCACATCAACGACTACGGCAAGGCTGGCAAGCTAATATCGAAAGTCTGGCCCAGATGCGAACCCGTGGAACGTGGAACTCGGTGACTGGACCAATGGGGGCACTTATTCTCTCATTGCAGCAGCTGGGGTGGAATCCACGCATGCCAGATGAGTGGGATGATGCTAGCGGCGAGACGTGGAGGTTCCAGAGCGAGGGCGAGCTCGACTTTCGCGACATCATGGAGTCCATCACCAGGGACATGCAAGCTCAGCTCTGGACCAAAGCAGCGGACCACTACTACGGCAAGGGCATGCAGCACGGGATGGACACCACCATGCTCAAGAAGACGCTCCAGAAGCTACGAAAAGCTGACCGAGTTCAAGAAGCAGGCGCGTTAGAGGCACTTGCTTGCGGCACGATATGGACAGGACAACGATGTAAAGCAGCAGGGTACCAGACAGATGGAGTGTGTCCGCGTTGTGCTAAGGCGCCTGACACGCTGAAGCACAGGATCTACGAGTGCGACATGAACGACAACCTCTTGATCGACGCGGTGGTCAAGTCACAGTCGCTCTGTCAGAAGGCCTTAGAGGAGACGCACGACAACCCAGAGACGGAGGCGTACTGGCTACGAGGGCTACTTCCCAAGCACAGGAATCCTGTACCTGATTCACCAGTATGGGGCGATTGGGATGGCAGTTATTGGACGACAGCAACGAGGGGACCCAAATTTATAGCAAGCGATCTGGTCACGATGGATCCCGTTCAGTGCAGCATGGCTTTCGTAGATGGATCAGGCACCAGCAACGACATGCGCATCAATCGAGTTGGATGGGGCCTTACACTGCAGCTACGAGATGAACGACGGAAGCGGCCAGGGCAGGCACACATGTGGTGCCCCAACGCCCTCGTGGCATAAAGGAGCCCCTCTGGGGTGCGCCAGGACTCCCACCCGCTGGGCGCCCTATCCACGGGTGGGTCCGTTGCCACGTTGGACGCCGGTGAAAACACCCTTGGCCCGGGGAGCGGGGCGCTACAGATGGGAAGCCCTTCTGGGGCGTGCCGGGGCTCTCACCCGCTGCGCGCACTGTCCACGGGTGAGATATCGCATGCCATGTTGGACGAGGGCCGAAAACTCCCATCAGTTTCCGACCCTGAGGAAGCAGAGGTTATGGCACCAACGGACACAGAAGCGGAGGAACAGAGAAAGGGCATCATGCACTACCTTGGCATATGGGTAGCTACATGGACGGTATACATCGACCTAGACGAGACCAGGAACCAAGCTAATTGGAAGATGTGGTGCGAACCGTACATGGAAAGCTACCTGCGACAACCAGCACAAGCAGCACTACGACAATTACTCAAAGCAAGGTACCAGACCCGAAGCATCAGCCAGATCGCGAAGGACCTTTGTGATATGCAATGGAGATCTTCCAAGAGGAAGCGGAAAGACGTGCACGACTACCCCCTCACCCTTACGGGCTGGGAAAGAGAAGCTTACATCTCCCACTGGTTTGACAGCGTAGCGGACATCAAGGCCAAGTTCCGCGAACTATTGCAAGACCGAGCGCCCACCTTCGACCAGGAGATGCCTGAGTTTTATGACGACAATGATGATGACCGACCAGCAGCCTTGCATGTGGGGGGCCCACGAGATCTACAAGGCCAGCCTGCCGAATCGCAGCACGGGCTACATCGACGGCACAGACCACATCGGTTTCTATGGCACCGTAGATGGAGAACAAAGTGCACCCGCAGCTGAGCATGCAGGACTATTCTGGGCTTTGGCGCTGACGCGAGGCCCGCTACTGATCATCACGGACTGCCAGCTGGTTATGAATGGTTGGACCCTCAAGTATTACGAGCAGCCCCAAGGAGCTCAGCGACCATGGTGGAAAATGGTAAAATTTATATGCTCAGCAAGCGGCCTGGCGGTGTACATGGAGTACGTGTCCAGAAGTGCTTATCCCACCTCGACGGCGACTCGGTTAAGCAGTCTGGCCAAGATTTCCACATCAGCATGGGCAATGAGATGGCGGATACGTTGGCGCAGCGAGGAGCAGAAGAGGCAATGGCAGAAATACGGCAGGAGGTCAAGGCACTGGTGGAAGTGGAGACTACACTTATGAGGACCCAAAGGCGAGCGGCAGCGATCATCCACGAGGTGCGCAAGGATGCGGACCCCACCAAGCTTGAGAGGCCCAAGCAGATGCCTAAGAAAAAAGCAAAGGAAAGAAGAGCTCAGATCGAGAAGGAGTCGGGCCACATAATGCGACATAAGAAAGGGCAATGGGTATGCCAAGAGTGCTGGCTTACCCTAGGCAAGTACAGCGTGGTCGACTGGATGAAGGCGAACGTGTGCATCGGGAGGCAGTGCGAGACACACCGAGCAGATCATGGATACGCAGTCCGTGTTCCCAACAATGAGCTGATTGAGATCAAAGACACAGTGATCCACGACAGCCACAGCATTGCAGTTGCTCATGGGCAGTTCTGGCGCTGGAATTGCGCAGCCGTGGCTTCGCACAGTGACGACGGACACGGCAGAGTGAACCTACTGGCGACGGAGTGCAGGAACAAGATCACGCAGAGCGGGACTGCTGTACTTCGTCGGCTACGGCAAGGACTACCACCTAAGGCTGGCCAGAATTGGCCAGATGGAACGGCGCCGCCTAACGGCGGACGGCTACCACGAGTTGCAGCTGGGCGACGATCTCGCGGTTGACTTCACGGCTCGGGGCTACGGCCCCGCAGAGTTACTCTGGCCTGGAGTGCCAGTGGGGTGGACGCCCGCCCTGCTCAGGGGGCGGGGTCGCGACCCCAGAGAGCCCGCGCGGCCTGCGCGGGCGGGGGCCGCGGCGGCCGAGTCGACCGCGGAGCCCCTCGCTCGAATGTCCTCGAATGTCCCCTCTGCTCCTCCCCCCCTTCGTCACCTTCCGCTCCTCCTCCGCCCTCTCAACGCTGCCTCCTCCAACCCCCTCCTCCCGGAGCTCCCCGTCCTCTTCGCTCTCGTCCAGGCCGGCCCAGGCGGCGCGCCCTCCGCTCGAGCTCCTGCGCTCGCCCAGTGGGCTCGAGCGCGAGCAGGATGGGGAGGCCCCCGGGCCTCTGCCTCGACCCGCTGCGCCCCGCCCTCGCCTCGACCTCTGGCACGGCGGCCCTCGAGCGCAGGAGGCCCCCCGCCTCCGAGCGTGGGGGGACAAGGAGTGACATGAACATACAGTCGAGGCGTTGACCTAAGGAACCCGAAATAAGGAACGAGGCCCCTTTTTCCCATAAGTTCAACCTCGATTTCCTAAGGAAAGCATCAGGAAAATCCGAGGCAAACTTTGAAACAATCAAGGGGCACCGAACCCCTCCCCAACAAAAAGGGTTCCTTCTTTAGCGCCCCGACTGTGCAAATTCGGAGGTCCGCGCGGATTTCTCGGATCGGCGCTGGGGCCCCCCGGCGGCGCCTCCGGCGCCGCCCCTGGCGCGCTCCGCGCGCCAGGGAGGGGGGTC